CATCATTAAATTTGGGATGACTGCTATCATTACATCAAACTCACAGCACATTATGTGCATCATCTTTGGAATTTCTGTCAACTAGTGAAATTCATTGCATTCATTTGTTATGTACTTGCTAGCAGACTGACATGGAATTTGCACCCACAAATTTTCATCTAGTTTGAATTCCATTATTCATAGTAATCATATAATTTATGTCTAGTTCTTATTAGATAATATAATCTGTAGTGACAAAAAAATATATCTAGGTTATAAATAAATCTATACACACACATTCTCTCTCTCTCTCTCTCTCTCTCTCTCTCTCTCTCTCTCTCTCTCTCTCTCTCTCTCTCTCTCTCTCTCTCTCTCTCTCTCTCTCTCTCTCTCTCTCTCTCTCTCTCTCTCTCTCTCTCTCTCTCTCTCTCTCTCTCTCTCTCTCTCGAATTATACATGATTATACATGTATCCTATACTGAAGTAATTGTTTTAATTTGTGTGTGTATATATATATATATATATATATATATATACAAATAATATTATCAGTATAAAATTATATATATATATATATATATATATATATATATATATATATATATATATATACTGATAATATTATTTATAATTGAAATATAGTTTTAAATATTTTACTTTTATATAGTAAAATATATATAAAAAATTGTTTGGTAAGTTTCTTTTATAGATATCAAATTATTATTGTCAGCATAGGGCTGTGCGATTTAATTGTATTTCGATTTTGGCTCCCAGCGATTATGAAAACAGCATAATCGAGGTAAAACGATTATTGCGCCGCTGCCGCATTCGTCCAGCGCACTTTCCTTTCCTTCACTTTCGTTCCTCCCTTAGCCAAACTTAAAATCCAAATCTGCCGAATAAGTGAGTGATGTAAAATGCAGTCTACAGTTGATTATGTCTTAAGTTAATGTAAATACTGAGAAAGAGCGCGTGTGTAACAGTATATCGGGTCCATGCGTTGGCTTTTAAAGTGACAGCAGCCTAATAAACCTAATGCAGTCATCATTGTTAATCAAACAACAAAAGACAAAGACAAAATCATTCACTACTCTTGAATGAATAAACTGTAGTTTTAATAAGGATTAGTCTATATTTAATGTATACAGCAGTGTTATTTTACATTTGATTACATTATTCAATTTCTGTTGCAGGCTATTACTTATCTGAATACCATTGTGAATACCACCCATAATGGGTGGGTGATATAATAAATAGTGCTTTAGGTTTTTTATCGAGCAGCTCTATGTCAGCATAACAATTTCAGTGTAGCATGCACTCTGTTTAACACATTCTAACTTGGGTAAATCCATTCCACATAATATCCCAAAAAAGGGCAGAAATTGCAAAAGCAAGTCTGCCGATTTCATCAGGGCCTAGTTACTGGAAACATTAGTTACACAAGCAAGATGTTGGTATTGTAGGCCTGAAAGAGGGCTTATGTAAAACGTGGGCTCTGCATCCTCTCTGGTTGAATTGATGAAAAGACCCGTATAATTTAATTGCATTTGAAGAGGAGCGGCTTGTTTCTCCCGCCAAATCCGCACTGCCGAGAGACCAGCGCGTCCTCCGGGCGTCTGCCGCTGCATCACTGCTTACCTGTTTTATCATAATTGTTTTGGCATCGTTCAGAAACAGGGATTAATGTACACACAGTTCACTGAGCCACTGCTTTGCAAAAAGCCTATTTATCACCGTCTTTTGCGGAAAGCACAGGGAGCTTTTGGAAGCTCAGATTGTGAAAGTGCCTTTGTGTTAATTTGACTGGCCTCAATAAATCAACAATTCTAAATCGAAAGGCTTGAGAGAAAATAGCCATTTTTTGAATGGCTTCAAAACAAAAATCGTTTTTGTTTTATGGTTACAGCAGAACCCTGCTTTTAATTAGACCACATGGGCACACACTCATATTTCTTTAATTATTATCATATTTTATTATCTTATTTTAATCTAATGATGTCTTGCAACTTTTGCCAGGGGAAATGAAAACCCCTTAACAAACAATTCCAGTCTGGAGAGATACTTCCCGTGTGGCCAGTTTTAACTTTTGATGTCATCGGCGTCTGGAATATCTCAGACCATGTGAGTGATGGAGCTCATTTTTTAATTTTTCTATAAAACGCCAACACAGTTTATGAGTCTAATCTAATCTGCCACCAGACTGTTCTGTGTGATAGATCTTCTCACTCTGTGTCTTTCTGTGAAATTATTCAATGATTAATCTTTAGAGAATATCAGGCTGACAGGACAAAATTGTGCTGTTGAAAACAGTTACTCCACAGCGTCTTTGAAGTGTGGATACTTACCTTAATTATGTTTGCTGGGGTTTCATCTGTTTTTGATGGAAAATCACTGGCATTTTCTGGGCTTTTATGGAAATGTCTGAGCTCTTGATGGTGCATGTCTGATCTTATGGTGGCATGATTCCGTTTTTTTATTCTTAATAATTTTAGACTGATATATTGGTCCAAAATGTGTTTCCGACTTTAATGCAGCATTTAAATAAAGCATCTTATTTTCCTTAAATTGGCTCCAAAAGGCCATATTGTAAATCTGGGATTCACAATCTAATGTAGACCTGCGAGTTCTGGAAGTCATTTTAGGATTTGGCACTAAAATGTTTCTAATGCTTCTATTTTGGATTTTCCATATTTTATTTATTTCATAAATAAAAAAAAATACATAGTTTTTTATATATATATATATTTATTACTGTATAATATGTAATACCGTATAATAAAATATACACTATCCAACCAATGATGTATTTATTTGCCCTAAAATACAGTTAAAACTTTAATTTTGTGAGATATTATTACAGTTTATTTAAATAACTATTAATCTTAAGTGTCACATGACATGATCCATCAGAAATCATTCTGATATGCTGATTTGGTGCTAAAAAAAAAACATTTCTTGTCATTGTCAATGTTGAAAAAATCTTTATAACATTTGAATTGCCTTTACTGACATTTTTGATCAATTTAATGTGTGCTTGCTGAATAAATGGATTTATTTCCAGTGTATTTGAACAACTTTTGAACAGTAGCGTATCATTTTTTAAAATTATATTTAAATATTTTATTTTTATTTACTAATCAAATGAGTAAATATGTGACACTGGTGATATGAATTAATTTGTACAGAGGGTCAGATGTTCTTGCTTCCATTGAAGCATTGATGCTATTTAGATCATTCTCAAATAATGCTGGAGAACATGCTCATCTGCTTTACACTAGCTTTGGTTTGAATCCTTCAATCTGCTTTGGAGGGATGTTTTAGTACACAAGCTAATGTAGTTCAGTTGAGTCTGCCACAGTTCTCACTGGTGCAGATGATTTGTGTTTAGCTCTTGTAAGGAGGACAGTAGACAGCAGATGCCAGAAGCTCAGTTGGACCTGGTTGTTGTTAATTAATCTCAGGTGAACCGCAGGAACATGGTTTCATTCCTGAGAGTGTTGTAGACACTGCGTCAACTCGATAAAAACAAAAACGAACGCTCTCCTGCCACTGTGTCTTGTTCAGTATGAAAGAGGTTTCAGACAGACAGATGGTTTCAGTGATTTGGTGCTAGTTTGTTCTACACTGACAGTAATGGGCAAATAAAAATGTCCGACATTGTAAGCAGGAGGTAAAAGGCTCTGTATTTCAGAGTGCTGGAGTTGTAAAAGATTATCTGCCGGTTTTATCTCCTCAGTTTCCAATCCAAGTAGGGGGAAGAACTGATGTGGGAAAAAAATCATGAAATTCATAACTTTGAGATTTTCTGGATTTAGATAGTCTGGATAGTCGACTTGTCGCCCCAAAAAACACACATATGCATATATATATATTCCACCAGGGTTAGAACTTATATATATCTATATATCGAAGTTCTAACCCTGGTAGGCGGAAATTTCTATTTAAACCCTTGTCAGACATCCCTCCACTGTATGGGCAGATGATACGCAAACTACGTTTCTCAGCTGGATAAAGCAAACCAGCGTCTCACTAGTGAAGTTTTGATGAATGAGGATTGCAATCAAGGTAAAGACGATTGGGGTGACGTACAGGAGTCGTTGTCCTGTTCTGTCACTTGACTTGTTTAAAATGTAAACAAGCTCTTTGCTGTTGCATAATACACATACTATACACTGTGAATTCTGAAGTTTTAATGATGACAAAATGAACTTGATTAATCGCAATTACATTTTTTTTTATATCATAAATATCAATAATAATCTTTGTCAATGGATTTTTTTTTACTTTTAACCTTTTGAATTTGGGTCTGTAAGTTTTTTTTTTTTTTTTTTTTTTTTTTTTTTTTAAATGTTTTTGAAAGAAGTCCCTTATGTTCACCAAGGCTGCATTTAAAAAAAAAAAAACAGTAAAAAACGTAATATTGTGAAATATTATTACAATTTAATATAACTGTTTTCTATTTAAATGTATTTTAAAATGTAAATTATTCCTGTTTTGGCAAGGCTGAATTTTCCGCAGATTCCTTGCAAATTATTCTATGATGATTTTGAGCTCAAAAAAACATTTCCTTTTATTGCTGCTTTATTTTTTTATTTTTTTGGGGGGAAACCATGATATATTTTTTGAGGAACAGCAGTTCACAGCAGCAAAAACAGCATTTTTTTTATTTGGAATAGAAATCGTTTGTAATGTGATAACGTTATTAAAAATATATATTACTTTGGAAGTTTGTATATATTTTATTTTGTCATCAAAAATATAAACCGTAGCCTCCTTTTACAACTTTTGATTGTGTGAACACATGTACAGTAAGAGATGCATAATATTTGCAGAGATATGTGTTTAGCTCTTTCACAACACTATGTTCTTGCATATTTCATTGTTTTCAGGGGTGACTGAGAAAATGCTTGGTGTTAAAATGGATCATTTTTATTTGAGAATTTCAGTATTCACAAACCTTTACTAAACTGCTACAGTTTTCAGAGAGAACTGATATTTTTTCCACCTTGTCTCCTCAACAGGTCCTGTGACCAATGCTGCTATCATACCAGCACCTGCCAACATGTTCCTTTCTGACAGTCGTCCAGCCGTCCCACTGCCACGGTTCAGTCGCCACCTGAACCCGTCCGAGCAGGGTGACGGCACGGGCACCGGAGGCATGTGTCTGAGACTGGGAGCCAACACACAGGTAACATCTGGGGATAGATGTAATCAAAAAATAAGATTAGGTCCACTGAGACTAGTTATGAGATGGCAGAATTGCCATTTAGAGCAATGTTATTACATTTACTTATCAATTGGGATTCAGTATGCAGCAACTTGATCTACCCTCATAAATGCAAAAGGTCACTTGCAAAAGTTTACCCAGAGGTCATTTACAAATAACAGTCTTAAAGATGCTGTAACAAATTTTTAAAGAAAATTATATTCATTCCTATAGTATATAATATTATCTATTATCTATCTCGTATGAGATATTTTTTACACACAGTATATCTTGATATTGATTTATTTTTTAATTGTTTTAAAGGGTTATTCTTTATTTTTTTATGCCAATTTGACAAGTTTACTTAAATGCACAAAGTAAATTCTGTGATAATCTGGTTTGAAATAAATAAGGTTTTTTTTTCTTGCACTTTTCTTCACTAAATAAACACAAGCAAGATTTATAAATTATTTGCAGCAGAATTTACCTATATATTGTTTTGAGTCAAATCACTGAAGCAGTTTGAAAATGAACAAATTATTTATTTATTTTTGCTGCTGAAGTTTAAATCAGAGACCATTCATCTTAAAGTCGGTATGGAATAAAAACTCACATTTTGTAAATGCCGGTTATCAATCTTATTGCGAATTATTCAACCATGCGTATGTTTCATTTGTCAAAACCTCAAAATTCTGATGAATCGTGTGTATACCTAATGTATGCCAGACTTTTCCAATCATTTAGTCTGCTTAAACCCTGCTCCTTTCATACAGCAGGACCGACTTCATCCAATCAACAACCAATGAATCCAACTTAGTCCTTTTCTATTTCCTATTTCTTTTCAAAAGAGTTCAATGCTAGCCTAATGACACACTCTTTAGAAGACTCACTTTAAATACATCTACTAAATGTAAATGCAAATACAAAAAATAAAAATTGGCAACAAAAACATTGTTAATCAATCAAGGATATTCAGTGTCATCCACCATCCTCAAAAGTGTAAGTGGATGCTCTTTTTCTTTAGATCAGATGGTTTAGTTCCACTGACACTCATATACTGTAAGGTGTAACAGCTGCGTGTGGGTGAAATGATTGGGTCAAAGATGTTTAAAGCAAGTTGCACATATGGATTGGTCTCCTCACCACCAGCAGTTTTCAAACATGATGAATGTTTACAGCTGTTAGCACCTGAACGTAATTCCTCCCATGTCAAAATCAATTATAGACACATAAATGAAATGCTAATACAAAGTCTTAAATTTGCCCACCACCTGCTCTGTGGCTCCAACCTTTGCCTTTTTTTTTATTTATCTTTCCTTCTTTCTGGATATCTGCTGTTTTCCTCTTCCTCCCCTCCCCCCTCAGCTTGTTTACCGAGCGGCTAATCTTCCAGCCTCTGGGAGAGCACATCCTATCTGGAAAACACGCTTCTTTCACCTCTGCACAGCGAGAGGGAACCTAAAACAAATGTTTTGATAAGTGCATTAATACTTCTACCACGACCCAAAATAATACGTTCCAACTGCGACCCAGAGGCTGCGCCCAACATCACACATTCGGTGTGACTGGCGTGCCACACAGCGTGTAAATTAAACCTGCTCTGAGAAAATTAATTTCTCTTTCCGAATTGTTTCCGTTATCCACTTGGAAGGGGAAACAACGACCCTGCTGTGTGTGGGGGGGGGGCACCCTGCAAAACTCATGAATTAAACCATGTGACCCTCTAAATAATCGTGACCTGTGGGGTGTGGGTGTCTATTAACAGCCTGGCTGACTAAATTCTGATGGAGGTCAAGCAGAATGATTTCATCAGATCAGTTGCCATCAGTTGAGCTTAGGTCTGCTCCGCTATGTGCTAATGGAGTTAAGCTTGAGGATCAATGGATTGTTATTATTACCCTTAACTATTCATAAATATTGGAAATCTATTATTTGGACCTGAATTAGGCAGATCATGGTGGTGGACTAAAGGCTGTTGTTGGGGGTTCTGCAGAGGTTGACCGCTTGGCTTTCATAGCGAATTCTGAGGCTTTTTTGGTTGCACTTGAACTCAGTTGTAATTCACTTCCTTTTATGTGATTGGATGTTTCTTGGGCACTTTTGGCCCCTGGACATTTAGAAAACACACTTGTCACACTGACTCTGATACGTTTATTTAATTTGTCCACTAACAATGAACCACCACAGTGTCATTTCCCCCTCATCTCAAATGATGTTTTGTGTTTAGTAGCATTCTGTGGTGGAAATGTTGGTTAATGGAAATTACATTTTGAACATATTTGCAATAAAATTGTCGACTGATTTCACATTTTATCCTACATACACATACACACCAATAACTGTTTTACACTTTTAAATAAAACTACAGCTTTGTTGGAAATGATGCAGTAATATTAACCTTGATATTTCTTGATTTCTTTATTGCTTAATATTGGTATAACCACGTACATTAACTACTTTTGATTAAAAAAAAATGCAGCAAATTTCCGGGATAATTTCCACCAAAGTTGAATAACTGTTCGTCTGTTATAGGACAACTTAGTTTGAACAAGCAGACACTGATTAGCTACTCGCTCTACGTGTATTTAAAATGAACAGCAAGACAACTAGAAGTGAATGTGCTTTCCATTAAATGAATCACACACAGCAAACAAAACCTTAACGATGAACCTTGCAATTTAGACGCGCAAACTGCGTGCCGGTGCAGTGAGACGTACATGCTCGGGCAGATTCGGCTTTAATGATGTGTTCACACCGAACGCGAATAGAGCGTCAAATACGCGTCTATCGCATTTAGTTAGACGCTTGAACATTCGCTCGAGTTCAAATTTTTCAACTTGCGCGGAAGACATTCGCGGCAAACGCGTCGCCCAATTCGCGTCATTCGCAACGCCCGGCGCGAATGATGCGTCTATTCGCGTCTTTGCATTGACTTTGTATGTAATCTACTCGCGCAAATAATTAAATTCGCGTTCGGTGTGAACACACCATAAGTCGTTCATCCTCGGATGCGGCGTCGCGCGCGCTGTTACAAAAAAAGCCGTGCACACAGCCAAGCGAAATGGGGTCTTGCCGGTCTTGCGCACCCAACGCGTCATCTTTGCCACGCGCACCTTCGCACTCGTGCGGACGCGTCGAGTAAACAAGGCTTTACTCCGTGTCAGCGCGCGCTCTGATCGGTAAAGGGGCACAGCCACAGTCCTCTCCCGAATCATCTCCAGTTAGCAGCCTCCGAAGCACCAACTCCGCCTCCGTTTGCCTCGTAAGCTGATATTAGTATTTAAGCATTCTCTATGATAAAAAAATGTTTGTAAAAAATATTTTAATAGCACGGTTTTGGCGGTTATAGAGTTCTAATGACGGTGTTCAACTCTAACCGTCGGTCTAACGGTTATATAATAACCGTCACACCCCTACTGGCCCCATAAGTTTGATCAGTATTGTAAACGTTAAAAAAATCAACCTAGCCTCCACATTGAGAAATGATGTACCATTACAATGTTAGGAGTACAATATTTCAAATTTGTGAGCGTTGTGGGAATCCATTGAGAGCAGAATCAAAATACAGCACCAGGTTTACTCATCTTCCTGTGAAATCAGCAGACTCACTGTATCCATCGAGGCAGGAATAGTAAATTTCCGCAGACATGCACTGATGGTCTGTAAATCAGAAGAGTTAGATGGCAGAATCTGAGAAGGGCTGTTAAAAAGAGATTGACCTTGCTAGGATTTTCATTGTCAGCCTTAATAATCTCGTTGGACCCTTGGAACAACGTCATGCTCTCCACAAACCCCCGGCCACTTACTCACTGTCAGTAGTGATCAGCCTCCTTGAGACAGCCATGATTAGACCTTGTTTGTAACTGACCCTCACAGTTGGCACAGCCTCTTCAGGACACTTACGTCATGGGAAATGCCTACACGCAAATACCTTATTGGCACACTCAATCATTGTTGTAGCCTAACATACTATTGTGATGATGTTTAAAGTGTTTCTCTTTGTCTTTTCACTCTCTCAGGAGCCGGAGGGGACGTATTTGGAGAAAGCAGACGAGCTCTACTCTCTGATGTGTGCCGTCACAGACAAGGTAAGCAGGGAAGCGTACCATTCACTCATTGCTGTGAGCTGAATTTAAGCAAGGCTTTCAAGGCGGAGACAGTTTATAGCCTGTTGGCTTTGATTCTTGTAATGATCCGCATGAAGAGAGAGGAGACAGAGCAATCGTCACAAGTAGTGTTGACTAGTGCTTGGCTTTGCAGAGTAATCAACCCATAATTGCCATTTTAAGATGGCTAATAATTTTGCCAATCCTGGGTAATTAACAGAACTACTTTTTTTTTTTTTTATGGATTTTGATAAAACATTGCTTAAATTAAATGTTTAGCAATTTATGTTTTTTATTTTAATTTAGCTCCAATTTAATTCGCTATAATAAGGGTTCTTTTTTTAAGGCAACCATCACTGTGTCTGAATCCGAAATCGCCCCCTATACAGTCCCATACAATGGGACAGCCATTTGTAGTGGTGTCCGAAACCATAGTGGTAAACAAAACGTTTAAAGTGGTTGCGGCAAATTTCACTTAAATGTATATAAACTCTTAAATGGAATGAGATATTTCCACCAAACTTGGCTGACATATGTATGGGTTCAATCTGAGGTCACAAGTTGGTGAGCGGGCCCAGATCATATACTGTAATGTAGAGTTGTCAAAAAGTACCGACTTCGGTACCAAGTCGGTACTGAAATTTTTAAATTGTGACGCGTTGAGCGGAATCGTAAACACCTCTGATTGGCCATTGTGTTCACGCGCTCATCGGATATGTCTGTGATTGGCTACAATGATCAACGCATGGGAGCGTTTGAGAGCACACGGAAGTGTTTTAAAGTGTTTTAAAAAACGGCAGCGGTCCGCTGATAGACGCCCGCTTTCAAACACTCCCGTCTGTGTCTGTGCAAGCGCTCGGTGAAGAGCGACATTGATGTATATTTACATGTTTTTGAAGTGCTGATCATGTTTACGATTCCACTCAACAGCGCTCAAAGCGTCACTTTGTTTAAATTTCAGTACCGACTTGGTACCGTTGTTTTTTTGACAACTCTACTGTAATGCCAGCCAAAGGATGCCAGAAAGTCATTAATTGCAGAAACGTGAAACACAGCCATGCTGATATAGAGCCATATCTCATGGCTACGAGTGTGATATTGCATTTATACAACAGTTCGAGGGCACACGTTTGTAAATAAATAAAAACCCTATTTTGTGCAGAACTACTTCCTTCTGCCACTGATTCAAATCTCAAGTTGACACTTTAACAGTTTAACAAGCCTCCATTACTAATTCTAAAACGTCGCTTTAGAACTAGCAACGAAGGAACGCTGAGTGGCTTCATTGAAGCTTATTCTTCAGGTCAATCTTATATTCATAATCACAAAATCATTTTGAATGTCCGCTGAGGAAAGCGATATATTTTGTCTTTTTTCCTTTTAACAATCTAGAGGATATATAAAATATAAATATAAGAGTCTTTGCTGACATCTAAATGTTGTAATAATGTAGCTTAAGTTGAAATCACAATCACTAACAGACCTTTTCCCAATACCAAATATGGCATGTTATTTGAAGCAGCGCTAGTTAATAGTACATGATTTCAGTTAAAAAATAAAGTTATGAAAAACCTTTGCCCTTAGCCAAATTGATTTGCTCTGAAACGAGTAATAGATTAATAAGACCAAAGATTGCCCGTTTGATAAGCACAAAATTAATTATACCTTGTGTTTAAACACTATCTACATAAGAGCCAGTGGCAAATTCCTGAAGGACTAGCCAAGATAAAGCTTTTCTCTGCGGGTACACGAGCGCTGAACGGCCGCTGGTGGTCTGGAGCTCAATCTCTGAAAACTTCTAAACACATTTTCAAATAGGTGCTATATATATACATATATAAGTTGCTTATTTGAGGTCTAAATAACTAACTAGCTTAAAAAAACTCTACATTCTGTGACACAATAACAACAACATTCTTTGTAAAATGGTGTTTGCTCGTCCGCCATGACACTCGCTTTGAGAGAAATCCTGCAAAGCGGAGTGATACAAATGATGAAACTGTTCCCGTGGTGATACTGGTAGAATATCGCACGGCTAGAAAAGGCTCTCAGCCAGTAAGTATCGAGAACCAGAACGAACTGTTGTATATAATGTAATGTAATGTAAAATGAATGAATAATGACTTGAAATTAATTCATTATGTGAGAAGGAACTGCAGAGATTTAGGAATGGGTTGCATGCGTCAACAGTCAATTATACAAAATATTTGACCGGAGCATGCTGTGATTTACAGAGGTGATCGATTCAATACTATAATCTTTTATATAGAGCATCTCACTCACTTCCTTCTACAGGAAATGAGCCACTTGCACACCTCTGTCAGAGTCTGATTTATACTGCTGATAGAGCAGCTCCACTGGGCCGCTCTTATCCGAGGGTTCGGACTCTCTCCATGGGATGTTGAAAGTGTAGTCAAGAGCTGTTTGACAGCCAGCGGAGGAGAACACGATCAGACTGGGCTTGAAGCTGAACTGATTAACACATAAAGCCTAGAGTTTATTTTTATTGATCTCAACACTCATAAAAAGGAAGCCTTTAGAGTAGAGGTGGGGTCTTTGGTACCTCATTCTACTGAAAATGTGAGACTGAATTGCTGTCAACTTGTTGTTTTTTTATGCACCCCCTTAATTAGAAGAGGGTTTCGGCATACTTTCGGCCTATTGAACGTCAGTTGTTTAGGGAATTAGTTACAGCGAGCTGCAAGCAAAGCACAGGCTGCGTTCCTCATAACTCTGTCCAAATACATTATTTTAGGCTCTTTAAAATGTCAAAGTACAGTGAGTCCAGATGGTCCCCGCAGTCCCGTCCATCTGGAGGGACTGAGGGGTGTTTTGGGGTTTGTTGCCATTATCCATCTATGAACACGTTCAGGTCACCATAGAGGTTGTTTCCTCATCCTCATGGATCTCCTGACGCTTTTAAACTGAGTCCGGCTCTGGCAGGACCATTAAGTGGATTAGTTTCACTCACTCAAAAGGGAGTTGGATCCCGCCGGCAAGCTCAGAGCCCGCTGTTTATTCAGGAGATGTATGTAAATAAATAAATAACTGGAGAGCAAGAGTGTTTTTTTTTTAACCTCCCACCAGCCCTCCCCCACCCACTTAATCTGGGTGAAATGTGCATCGCTGTCACTCGGCGCTCGCCTGCACGGGGGAATCAAGCACAAAGGGAATGTCAATATTTTCTACGCCAGATTAGGGATGTTCTAAAACGGGATTTGATGACCTCAGCGAAAATCTATGATGGAACTTGAATCCTAAACCCAGGTGCAGGGTTTTTATTTTTGACATGAAAAAAAGCTCACCTCCTCATTTACACACAGTTCATCTTCTGGCTTGTTATATGCTTGCGATTTAGCTCTTTTAGATTAAAGGAATGTTTCGGGTTCAATATAAGTTAAGCGCAATTGACTTCTGTGACATTTCGTCGATAACCACAAAAAAAAAAAAAACTCTTCACCTAGATATTAAAAACAAACACAAATCGGTTTATTGTAATGCACTCACAGTCGAAGATCTATTATTATATTATATTATATACAGTAGTGTCCAAAAGGAATGTCCGACTAAGGAAAATTGGCTGCTTCTAACTTTTTATTATATATGTTTTATATATTTTGTATGCATGTTGTGAAGTTGTGCCTGGAGTGAAAAACGAATGTACGTGTTCCACTTTCCAGTTGTATCATTTGTCATGAAGCAATAAAATATACCAAATTGTGAAGATGTAATTTTCAGCCAAGTGTTCATACTAAGCTGGCACTTATTATTCCCAGCCTATAATTCAGTAAATTACTAGGTAGACCTGCCATATAGTGATTTAGCTATATTATTAGATGTTATTTTGGGTTTTTTTGTGTGGAAATTGCCAGATGGAAGGAGCTGTCCTCTGCAACCAAGGAGGATATTTATAAAAAAAAAAAAAAGACTAAATATGGTCAATCGGTTTTAGATATTGCTCATGTGCTGGATGTGAATGGTCATGATGTCCACATAATTATTTTGAAGCGCCGACAGAGCACTACCATGCAGAATGTAAAGTGCTGTGGCTGGTCAAGGAACACTAGTCAGCATTTTGACAGGAAGATGAAAATGTTGGAACCACCTCAAAACAGCTTCTAAAGACCTGGACGAAACCTCCAATTTCATCTTGAACTTTAAGCAAAAAAAACCAAAAGGCTGGATTGAGAGGTTGTGCAAAAAAACAACTTGCCTTTGCCATAGAGCATAAGGAGTGTAGTGTGGAAGATTGGAGCCGTGTTCTGCAGTCCAATACGTAAGGGATAATGTACATTCAGCAGGTTGTTATCGTAGAATAAGCCCAGACAGGGAGATCGGGACCCTGACGCGAAGCAGAGGGGTCTTGCATCACCCTGAAGGGGTTTATTCTGCGATAACAACCTTCTGGATTTATTATCCTGCTTATTACACAGCTACTTGCCACATAAAAAAATAATCAGACATGAATTTGGCACTTGAAATGGACCAATAATTGGGAATCCTTCTGAACACAATGTATGGAAGAAATGTTTGGAGATCAAATGTGTATTTTCCAACATGATTATGATCCCAAACACACCGCGCAATAATGAGTTGTGGTTATTGCAGTCACCAACACAACACAACAAAATTACCTAATTTTGCTCTAAAATTCTGCCCTAAAATGATGCTTGAGTGATATTTTACAGTCAAACTTGCCTATACCCCACCGTGATAACATCAATTTGTCTGCTGAGTGTGCTATTGGAGACATTTGAACAATAATATGTTTGTTTAAACCTATTCATTCTGAGGATTAGTGCCTCACATACAAATGAATGTCCGCCCCAACAGTCGCTAACAAAATAATCTATCAAAATCCTTCTTCTGTAATTGTGAACGGCTAGAAAGGTCATGTACAAGTCATGAAAAGTCATTGTTAAAAAAAAAAAAAGTGTTGGAGCTCAGTCTGTCAAAAAGATATGTCATGATAACTCTGTTTTCTCTCTCTCTCTCTCTCTCTCTCTCTCTCTCTCTCTCTCTCTCTCTCTCTCTCTCTCTCTCTCTCTCTCTCTCTCTCTCTCTCTCTCTCTCTCTCTCTCTCTCTCTCTCTCTCTCTCTCTCTCTCTCTCTCTCTCTCTCTCTCTCTCTCTCTCTCTCTCTCTCTCTCTCTGTCTCTCTCTGTGTGGTGCTGCCAGAGCATGTTTGGTGATGGGGAGAACACTAAGGTACGAGTGTCTGAACTAGAGGAGGAGATGAGGACCCTGAAGAAGATCAATAAAGATCTGTATGAGTTCTCCTCTCAGCTCCTGACCAAACCCAACTAGAAGAGCGTTCAGCTGCAGAGGTCCTCCAACAGAACAACCGTGCCAGTTTGAGAACAACAGGATGGGGAAATGCATTTAAAAATTTGTAACTCTTTGCAATGGACTGAAAAATGCCAACTGTTCTTTCCTGCCCTATTTTTATGTTCTAAGGGCAAAATTTGTTTTCCGCATCAATCTCAACACAAGCTCACGGACCGGACTTATATTTGTAGTGTGTTTGTTTGATGACATTTACCTTTTCTGAATTATTGTAGGCCTATAAAAGAGTCTGAACTTGAAATATTTGCTGTTTATGTTATAAAAGATTTTGACCTGTACACTTTATTAAAAAAAGTTTTTCAGCCTCTTTGTTAGGTTTCTAAATACTGTCCATTCCAATCATCACTTAAGGCACAGATCTTAAAATAAAATAAAGTCTGAATAATCTATGTAGAGAATTTTTTTTTTCTTATTTAATTTTAATAAAGACATTTAGGGAATTTAGGACCCTCTTTGAATTGCTCTGTTTATTATTATATATAATTATATCCATTAACATTTCTCTTATTTTTAAAAGGGAAAATGTCAAAGCACAACAGGGTTGAACAAAGACAAATTAAGAATTTCTAAAATACTTTTTTATTATTATTTAGTTACTAACCTTTATGTGCTACTGTAGTTCAACCCCATCACATTAAGTTAAGGAAACTTAATGTTAAGGAAATTAAGGAAAATATATGCTTATAATTTGATTGATAACTGCAGTGTCACTCAGTTTTGGTTTGCTTTGTAAAATGTCAATTACACATTATATAATATCCAATAACATTTATCTTATTATTAAAGGAGGAAATGTCAGAGCATAACAGGGTTGAACAAAGACAAATAAACTTGCAATTTGTTAGAAAATTGTTAGTTTATATATTAATTGTTGTTACTAACCGTTAAGTGCTACTTTAATTCAACCCCATAATGGTAAATTTGAAACTTATAGACTTTATATAAATGATATACTATAATTTGAGGGATAACTGCAGTATCGCTCAGTTTTGGTGTGCTTTGTTAAATGTAAATCCCACATTATATAAAGGAAAATGTCAGTATAACCTGACCAATATTTTTTACAAACTGCATGAAGCATGTAAAAAAAAAAATATATATATATATATATACTGTATATACATACAGTGGGGAGAACAAGTATTTGATACACTGCCGATTTAGCAGGTTTTCCCACTTACAAAGCATGTAGAAGTCATAGGTACTTTATCATAGGTACTCTTCAAGTAATTAATATGCATTTTATTGTATGACATAAGTATTTGATACATCAGAAAAGCAGACCTTTGCAATTACAGAGATCATACGTTTCCTGTAGTTCTTGACCAGGTTTGCACACACTGCAGCAGGGATTTTGGCCCACTCCTCCATACAGACCTTCTCCAGATCCTTCAGGTTTCGGGACTGTCGCTGGGCAATACGGACTTTCAGCTCCCTCCAAAGATTTTCTATTGGGTTCAGGTCTGGAGACTGGCTAGGCCACTCCAGGACCTTGAGATGCTTCTTACGGAGCCACTCCTTAGTTGCCCTGGCTGTGTGTTTCGGGTCGTTGTCATGCTGGAAGATTTACTGAGGGAAGGAGGTTGTTGGCCAAGATCTCGCGATACATGGCCCTATCCATCCTCCCCTCAATACGGTGCAGTCATCATTTCCCCTTTGCAGAAAAGCATCCCCAAAGAATAATGTTTCCACCTCCATGCTTCACGGTTGGGATGGTGTTCATGGGTTTGTTCTCATCCTTCTTCCTCCAAACACTGCGAGTGGAGTTTAGACCAAAAAGCTCTATTTTTGTCTCATCAGACCACATGACCTTCTCCCATTCCTCCTCTGGATCATCCAGATGGTCATTGGCAAACTTCAGACGGGCCTGGACATGCGCTGGCTTGAGCAGGGGGACCTTTTGTGCGCTGCAGGATTTTAATCCATGACGGCGAAGTGTGTTACTAATGGTTTTCTTTGAGACTGTGGTCCCAGCTCTCTTCAGGTCATTGACCAGGTCCGAGTAGTTCTGGGCTGATCCCTCACCTTCCTCATGATCATTGATGGGACGAGGTGAGATCTTGCATGGAGCCCCAGACCGAGGGAGATTGACCGTCATCTTGAACTTCTTCCATTTTCTAATGATTGCGCCAACTGTTGTTGCCTTCTCACCAAGCTGCTTGCCTATTGTCCTGTAGCCCATCCCAGCCTTGTGCAGGTCTACAATTTTATCCCTGATGTCCTTACACAGCTCTCTGGTCTTGGCCATAGGGGATTATCACGCTTCCGGGTTTCATGGGCGGGATTTGTCAACTTTGTGCATGTCCACTTCCGACGCAGTTCAACAATGGCTGAAACGAAGGCTAGATGTCACTGCTCTGTTCCACTTTGTAAATCTAACCAACAACGCTAACCCTACTTAAGTTCTCATGGATTCCCGACTGAATTGAGTATAAGGAAGAAGTGGATTAAAGCGGTTCGCCGGGATTAAGGTCCAAACTTTAAAATAAAACAAGGTAGCACGTTTGTTTGTAGCCGGCACTTTAGTGAATCAGACTAATTTACCAGGGATGCCGTATAAATAAACTTAGTGTAGTCCGTCATCAGTTCGCCAGAGTGATCGGTGATTCAACGGAAGTGGCAGTGCACAAAGATCACTGAATGCGGAAGTACTACGTATCAGCATGATAATCCCCTATCGTGAAGAGGTTGAAGTCTATTTGATGGTGAGTGTGTGGACAGGTGTCTTTTATACAGGTAACGGGTTCAAACAGGTGCAGTTAATACAGGTAATGAGTGAAGAACAGGAGGGCTTCTTAAAGAGAAACTAACAGGTCTGAGAGAGCCGGAATTCTTACTGGTTGGTAGGTGATCAAATACTTATGTCATGCAATAAAATGCAAATGAATTACTTAAATATCATACAATGTGATTTTCTGGATTTTTGTCACTCACAGTTGAAAAGTACCTATGATAAAAATGACAGACTTCTACTTGCTTTGTAAGTGGGAAAACCTGCAAAATCGGCAGTGTATCAAATACTTGTTCTCCCCACTGTATATATATATACATAACCATAAAGTATATAACCAATTTGAATTTAATGGTGATAAATGGGAGCATACAAATTGTCCGATATATTTATTTTATTTTAAAATTTATTTTTTTTATTTGTATTATTATTATTATTTTTTTTAGTAGTATTTTATTTTATTAGATTAGATTTTTTTTAAATTATAATTTATTATATTTTATTTTATTTACTTTTTCCTGCACGAAATAAATGTATGAAATAACGTGAACAAGTTCAGTAGTATCCTGTTCATTAATCAGTATTAAGTGATGGAAGCACATACTATGAAAATTCAGATTCCCATAGACTTCGTCATCAGAAAACACAATCTGTGATGTTGTTTTATCGTCCAACCTGTTACCAAACATGGGTCATTCTCAGTTAAGTGTGCCCAGCTGTACATCCAGCAGCTGTCAGCAAGGTTATTGTCCTGTAATTTGAAGCTGACCAGATTAGCCGTGTTCATACAGCCTCACACCATATAGGCTACTTGCTAAAATGACGCTCTCCATCTCACTCCCTGCCTCCCTTCTGCTTTCCAGTGCAATCTAAAACTTTATAAACACCTTTCCCCTGCACAGCGGCTTATTTTCATTCCTTGTTACAGGAGACTAAAGCTGCCCTCGCTGTGACCCTCACAGACGTCTCGCAGGATTTAACATTCTGGAAACATCCACAGAATCTTAAAGAGGAAACATTATAGCCTTTAAAAACTCAAATAAATGAATCAACCAAAAAAAAAGAATCATCAGTATTCCACTGGCATACTGTTGCGAATGCAGAGAATGCTTGATTTCTATCTAGTTAACTCATTTAGACCATGTGATGCAGATAAGACCCATCTGAGTATCATCATCTCAGGATGGAGAGAGAGAGAGAGAGAGAGAGAGAGAGAGAGAGAGAGAGAGAGAGAGAGGAATCACTGATAACAATTACAACTACCTCTCAGCACTTCCTCTTTGAAGATTGTTCTACTTCAGCTGTTCCTGCTCACAAGAGGTAGAAACAGTTCCTCACACACACACACACACACACACACACACACACACACACACACACACATACTGGTACGGGTGGTTTATAAAGACTTTTTCCCCTAAAAAGTTCCATCCTGGTTTATGGGGACCCACCTTTCCCTTTGTCATAGAGATTAATAATAAATATTAAACTGCTCCTTATGGCATGGGGTAAAAAGCTGACTGCTCAGAATTTAATTCTAATGAAACAGTCTGGTAATATGAAGACCTGACAAACTAAAGCACTGTAAGGACAGGGCAGGAGTGGGCGTTTCCTGATTTAATTATGATTTATGAGGACTACCCTGGTTTATCTGGACATCACTCACATACATACACACACACACACCTGACCCTTAATTATGAGGACAACCCTGGTTTATCTGGACATCTCACACATACACACACACACCTAACCCTTAATTATGAGGACTAACCTGGTATAACCTGGACTAACTTTACCCATGAGAGTGCCGCATCACTTAAGTTTGTTTCAATACCAGCATATAGAAAAACAAAACAAGAAATTATCAGCAATTGTTCAACCTGGCTTAAACTTTAAGAGAGATTTCAGAAAACTAACCTGAGTTTGTAATGTGAGATTTAGCAGGTGTGAAGTGAGTGAAGAGCAAAGAGAGAAGAAGGAAAGTGAAATACGGAAATATTTTAGCTTTAAAAATTAAGAAATTAAAAAACCAAAAGGAGAGTTTACTATTTAACCATCACTGACAAATGCATTCACCCACAAATATTTTTCATAATTGAACCTTGAATGTCAGTCTTAATTTATTCATTAGATTAAGAAGTTTTGTCTAAAGATAGTTTTGAATAAAGCTAAATATTTCCAGTTGATTGGGTTTGGGTTTTGTTAAAGGTGACCTATAATTCAAAATTGAATTTACCTTGGTATAGTCAAATAACAAGAGTTCAGTGCATGGACATGACATAGAGTGAATCTCAAACTGGACTGTTTTCGCGTTCTCATTTAATTCACGTTTATGAAAAACACCCCTGAAAAACGGTCGGTTCTCCACACAATACCGACTGTGACGCAATAGTCGGGATCATTAATATGTACGCCTCCAAATATTTGCATAATGCCAGCCCTCAATGCCAGGCGGAACTGCGCAGCCGAAGCATGGCAGTTGCTCAGTGTGGTAAACACATGAACACAAAAGTATTTTTTAGTTCCTTCATCTGAGCCTCTGAAGAAACAATGGGTTAATTT